ACGCGGGCAGCGGGACAGCTCAGACGCGCCGCAGCTGTCCCGCTGCCGGCATCCTCTGAGGCTTTGCTCAGCGTCTCCCTGGTCTGCTGGGGGGGATTCCCCCCCCAGCAGACCAGGGAGATGCGGAGCAGCTTTTCTCGCCCCGGAGGATGCGGGCGGTGGGACCGCGGCGCGTCTGGGCAGTCCCGCCGCCCGCGTCCTCCGGGGCAAGAAAAGCCCCGTTCGTAAGTACGGATCCGACGTAAGTGGGATCCGCGTAACCCAGGGACTGCCTGTACACAGTTACAGTAAATAAATAAAATACTTCATTCATTATTAAAATAAGTTTAAGATTAAAATAAAACAAATGAAAAATAGGCAAGTCAACCTGTAAAATTCACCACTAACATTTTTAATTCATCAACATATAATTTCTTACTCATATGTACTTTGTGTTGCTCTAAGTAAAATAATTAGTTATTTGAAGTGATAATAAAACACATGTAGTAAATTATATTAACTTGGTAGTTAAACAACAGTCTTTACAGACTATTTCTTCTTGTTGTTTGAATTATCAGGAGGGTAGGATTTCCAAGAGACAAAGGGACTTAACAGCATGAGTGCAAATGACAGTGATTGGGATTTGTGCTTCTAATTCACTTGCTATTCTATCAAAAAATGTTTATGGTCCTATACTGATATATTTTTTTAAATGCTAGTTCTGTGATTTAATGAAGTATGTTTGTCAATATGATTTCCTTAAGCAACCTTAACTAAAGCAACATTCTTTTCAAATGCTAGAAGAATTTTTATGCTGTTCATACAGTGATCAAATTTTAGCCACTGAAATGTTTCAGATAACGTATCATATAATAAATCACTGAAGACCTATTCATACCTCTGTGACTTCAGTGACAAGTGCCCCAACGCCTGTGTAGTAAAATGGGAAAAGAATTGCTGGCAGCAGAAACAGAACTATGAGACTTGCAACACCAAGAACAAAATTATGCCAGACACCTAGAAAAAGAATAAAAAAATATTAACCTTCTATGGAAACATTGGTATAGGTAACTAATAAAACAAACATTTCTGAACTGTAAATAATCACAGTATCTTTCCAACTAACTTCCTGAAATAACCACAGATAGAGAAGAACATGATCACCCTGCTGATTTATGGTTAAAGGCCTCCATCATGCACACATGAGCAATAGGGATGTCGGCGGTTAATCAATAAACACCATTCTTACCAGTTAACCAGGAGCCTGGCCTGGCTGTGCAGCCTCTGCCCATGGCAGGCCCGGAGCAGCCCATCATACAGCGAGGGTACTCCACCCCAGCTGGAACAGCCCTCACCCACAGCAGAGGGCTGCTCCAGCCCATCCACAGCAGCTTCCACTCATTCAGCTTCCACTCATTCCTGTTTAACCAGTTAACTGATTAAACTTTAGACCCCTAGTGAGCACATGAATTACTTTGTCAACATGAGTAGCTCATTGATCTCAATGGGACTATTCATATTCATAAAGTTAGTCAAGTGTTTAAGTCTTTACAGTATTGGTGCCAAAGCAAATACTTTTTTGGTTGTGCAGCCTTAGAGTCTATAAAAAAACCCAGCAAGCCACATAAAATTCACACCTTCATGTAATTCAAATCAAATAGATAGGAACTGGAATGGTTTAATTTTTAATAAACTGATAAACAACTGCGATGATTTTTCTTTATGCAGCAGTACCATATATATTCAGTAAGGGAAAAGATTACCAGACTCCCAAAAATCAAGTTACGCTAAGTCCTTAATTAAAAAAACCCCAAACACGTTGAGTGGAGAATTTGGACTTAAAGCTGTCCCAGGAAACTAACTTGTACAATCAGCACTTCCTAGTTTAGGGCTAGCATAAGCTTCACAGAAGGCTGTGTGAAGTTAGGAAATCACAAACAGGGATAGCACAGAAAATTTCAAGTTATACAGGTTGTACCTCCCTTACCCATGACTCCCTGGTCCGGCAACATCTGTGGTTTGGCAGCAGGGCAAGAGCACGTTAGGGGGCATCGGCAACCCAGTGTGTATATGGGTGTGTGGAGGAAATGGGCGTCACAGCAGGGAGTTCTGGCCCCAGCAGTGGCCAGGGAGTTCTGGCCCCAGCCACATACCTCCAGCCCCGGCCTTCTCCCTCAGCCCTGGCTGTGCAAACTCCAGCTCTGGCTGCAGAGCCAGGAGACTGTGGAGCTCAGCTCCAGCAGTGGGGCTGGTAGCATCTAGAGAGCAGCAGAGGGGGTGTGAAGCAGCAGAGGGGACAGGCTGGAGCCCTAAACCCAGTGGCAGCCCAGGCCAGGATGGGAGGGACCTTCCCTGGTCTGAAAATCCCCTTGTTTGGGACCAGACAGATCCCGAGGGTGCCAGACCAGTGAGGTCCAACCTGTACTTGTTTGCTTGGACAAACATTCTGAGTGACCAATTCATAGCAACTTTCCAGTAATGGCCTTTCCTTATGGCACCTTATTTTTTTGAGAACCATATGATCCAATTCAACATTTACAGACATGATTTATTGCACAAGAGAATGCAAGATTAATCTCAATATCTTTTACACTTATTTTTCTCCCACTGTACATAATGGAGCATTCATAAGTTGCAATAGAATCTCATGATATTCCCTCAGGACACTTGCTGTGAGTCATCACTATGGGTCTTACAAAATCTGATTTCTCCTTCAGCATTCTGAGGCCACAGAAAGGGAATGTGAAGCAATGTTCTAGGTCAGGGTTTGTCGTCATTTCCATTAATAGCTCTTTTTTTAAAAGGGATTTCTTTCCATGTGGGTTTTAAATCACATCTGCCTGAAGCTAAATTGGCACATAAATCATAAGCCTAAGCACTAGTTCCCCTCATCCCAAAGTAAAATAATCTAAACAACAAATTACATAGGGAACAGCCATTTTATTTTGGTTTTCACACCATTTTTACAAGACACAACTGCCTTAATACAGCTTATATTATATACAGTTTGTGTTCCAGTTTCTTTTCATTTGTCACCTCTCTCAAATTTTATATATTGCCACTGACCATCAACAGGAATCCTACATACCCCAGACTACTAAGAGATGGATTATTAGATTCTACCAAAAAGCAAGAATTTTATGAGGCTGATCCTTCTGTGCCTTGTACAGCAAGGCTAAGTCCACACTGTCAGTTTTTTTTGGCAGAAGATATGCAAATCATGCTCCATTTGCATATCTTCTGCCAATCCTTTTTGTGGAAAAGGTTTTGCTGCTAAAAAGCCCCGTGTAGACAGGGCCATTTGTCAGAAAAACAACCCCCTTTTTCACAAGATCCTGTAAACCTAATTTTTTGAGGAATAAGGAATCATGAAAAAGGTTTTTTTTTCCTGACAAATGGCAATGTGGACATAGCACAAGTGTAAAAAAGCTGCCATTCTGCTTTGTAAGCTCATTACAGGGCAGTGGAAAAGCAGACCCAAGTTTCGAGTCACAAAAATAACTTGCTAGAGAAATAAAAGGAGAGAGCTAGGGAAGAAGAGAGGGAGGAGATACTAAGCAAGATAAAAAAAGAAGAGTCAACCATATGGTTGGAGAATGATAAGGGAAGCTTCAAAGACACACAAGTTGAGAACCACTGGCCTAGGGGACATACAGTTAATTGGGTGGGAATAAGGCTGCATCTAAACTGCAGGGCTTAACTCGAAATAAGCTATGCAAATTGAGCTATATCAATTGTGTATCTTATTTCAAAATAATTTATTTTGAAATAGAGAGCACATACACAGCACTTATCTCAAAACAGAGCACTTTTCCTCTGACTTCCCTTACTCCTTGTACAATGAGGATTACAGGAGTTGGAGTAAGAAGTCCTCCAGCTTGGCAGTATTTTGACACTATTTTGAAATAACTGCCGGCTGTGTAAATGCGGACTAAGTAATTTCGGAATAGCACTAGTTATTTCGAAATAGCATTGTAATATAGACTTAACTCTAAGGCAGAGAAATCTAGAATGATAGTGAGCTTACCCATCCCAAGTCAAGAAAGGGACTGAAACAGAGAGATTGGGATGTCAACTTAATTTTGTCAAAATATTTACACTCCTAAAAATTCTCTCTTACTTGTTGATGTCTTGGATACAGTGGATTTAAAAAGGCAAAGTCTTCAGAAAGCAACAAGAACAAAACAAAACAAAGACAAAACAAAAAAAACCACAAACTGAAGACTCAAGCAGTTTCTTAAAATCTACTTAATTCTCATTAAAAAGTACATACGTTCCAATGACTCTTCAAAGATGCTACAGGAAATGGGCACTCCTTTGAGAAAATATTTTTTTACTTAGGGATATAAATTGATAACATGAATTCCTTTGTTTTTTTCCAAATCAGAACCTTTATTTTAACCAGTCTCAGAGGGGTAGCCATGTTAGTCTGTAACTTTAAAAATCCACAAGTAGTCCTGTGACACCATAGAGACTAACAAAAATATACAATATCATGGATTTTTGTGGGTAAGACCCACTTCATCGAATATGTTGGAGTGGAAAATCAGTCTTAAAAATGTATAGTATCATCAACTTTCATGGGTGTTAGTCTCAAAGGTGCCACAGGACTACTTGTTGTTATTAAACACTCATTCAACATTATTGAACTCATGATGCCATCTGCTGTACAACAAATATATTTTTTATCTCAAAAGTCTGAAGGGGTTACAAAAGCATTTTTAATGCATTTTTCCCTGCTTCTTCAGCAATTATAATAAAATCTGATTTCTGTTACTGAAACTTAAATTTCGGGTCTTCAAAATCTGGATTAAACTCATTCAGTTCCAAATAAAGAAACAAACACCACCAAACAAACAATGAATCTTTTAGTAACATTTAATGCACAATATGCTTTATCACTATTAAATTTTCCAATCTCATCTTGGCTGAAGTTATGTTTACAATGCAGAGTTTTTTTGGAAAAACAGTCAATTTTCCAACAAAACTCCACTTACATCCACACTGCAATTGCTTTTGGTTTAAAAAAAAAAAAAAAAAAAAAAGCAAGCAGAGGGGTTTTCATGACATTGGTAAACCTCTTTCTATGAGGAAGATGACTTTTTCCAAAAGAGCTCTTTTGGAAAAAGGCATGTGGGGATGGGGAAGAGTGAGTTTTTTCGAAAGAAGAGGAAAGAGGAAAAAGCACAGGTGCCCTGGTGGCCACTCCATCCATAGTAATCACAGCTTAAATGTGAGATAGCGTTCATTCAGTGTGGATCACTTTTTCAATGCACTTTTGCTGTGTAGATGCTCTCTTTCAGAAGAAGATTTTTTGGAAGATCTCTGTCATGATTATGAGGAACAAAATACAGGACTACACCAGACTAACACAGTTACATTTCTATCACTATTAATGATTATGAGGGTTAGCCAGCAGCCTGGGGATTAAGGGGATAACTACACCTAGCCAGGTGGAGTGGCCAATAGGAATGAAGGTAGGACTTTCAAACTGGGACAAAGGAATTTGGGTTTTTGCCTCCTTTGTCTCTCTGGGTAAGTCCTCTGCAGCTACAGGGAGGGACAAGCATGTCTCTCTCTCTCCAAGAAACAATTCTTCACTTTTTGTAAGTAGGGTAAAGTTTAGGTAGTTTCGTTAGGCTTTATTGTTTTAAGGGTTAGGTATGGGACCTGATATCTGGCACTGCTTAAGAGATGTTTGGCTTTTCTTTTTAACTAAGTTCTAGTCGATAGTGTAATTCCTCCATGAGTATATTTTGTTACCTTTGCATCTGAAAGGCATTGGGGTACACTTGCTGGCCCCCACTTCTGCATTTATCATGCAAGAGTGGGGAAGGAGCCATGACAATCTCGTCCCAAAAAGCTTCTTCCAAAAGAAGCCGGCAGTCTAGACATAGCCTGAAAACAGCAAACTGAAGCCAAATGGGAACACGAGGCTCCGTGGCTACAGACCCTTTAGGTAAACAAAGCAGCACTGGCCCCCTTAATGGCTTTCCCAAAGCGGGCTTTTAATGTCCAAAGATTAATGTCAGGAACGGTTGGTAAGAGGAGCGTCTCTAGGTGTCTTGTGTATTTAATTCTTTTAAATTCCCTGTTCTATTTAAGAAAATGATTCCGTATGCTTTGGAATGCCTTGCAGCACCAAACTTTCTAATTTCAGCGCATTGATCTAGATCAAACAAAATACAGGACTATGTAACACTTTAAAGACTGACAAGATGGTTTATTAGATGATGAGCTTTCGTGGGCCAGACCCACTTCCTCAGATCAAATAGTGGAAGAAAATAGTCTTCTACCATTTTCTTCCACTATTTGATCTGAGGAAGTGGGTCTGGCCCACGAAAGCTCATCATCTAATAAACCATCTTGTCAGTCTTTAAAGTGTTACATAGTCCTGTATTTTGTTTGATCTAGATCAATGCGCTGAAATTAGAAAGTTTGGTGCTGCAAGGCATTCCAAAGCATACGGAATCATTTTCTTAAATAGAACAGGGAATTTAAAAGAATTAAATACACAAGACACCTAGAGACGCTCCTCTTACCAACCGTTCCTGACATTAATCTTTGGACATTAAAAATGAAGAATAAAAATACAAAAGAAAAAAAAGCTCCTCAGTTAAACCTGCAATGGGCAACCCAACATCAGGGGTAAACTAAAAAAAACCCATAACATGTCATTCCTATTAAATGAAAAAAGGAAACTAAATAATTTTTTTCGTAATAATTAAAAATTTTCATTTTGTTTAATACGTGAATTTTGATGTTTGAGGAATAAATGTGTCTATGAAGGACCAGATTTCTCAGGTTGGGGAGAATCACATGCCACTGCTAGAATTTACCATGTTTTGTTGCCTTTATTGTAAATTATGCTGTACTTTTCTTTTGTAACTAGACAATTAGCCCGTCATAAAACGGGATTTTCAGGTCTCTCCTCCACGTCCTATTCCCTTTCTATCTTGGTCTTCTCTCCTGAGCCTTAGGACTCTCGCTCAACTCTCTCTCTCCCTTCCCCTCTCTCTCTCAGCTCTCCTCCATCTCCTGCCTCTCTCTCTGTCTCTCTTCTCCTCCTCCTCCTGCATGGGGAGCGCGGAGCCCAAACAGCTGTTTACGCCACTTGTTCCCGCATGGCAGCCCGCCTGACTTGCGCCCCTTGCTCCCACGCGGCAGCCTGGCGGAGTAGCGCAGAAGTCAGCCGAGCACCACGGCAGGAGGCGAAGGAGGGCAGGGCGGTGATGTTCACGGCCAGGTGGTGGGGCCTGGAACCGCTGTCACGCCGCACGTCACCGCTGATTTTCAGGTCTCTCCTCCACGTCCTATTCCCTTTCCGCTGCATGGGAGCAAGCGGCGCAAGCAGCCGTTTGAGCCCTGCACTCCCCATGCAGCACGGGCCACCCAGAGGGAACAACCAGCATTTCAGGCAACAGCGCCACCCAGAGGGAACAGCCAGCATTTCAGGCTACAGCGCCACCCAAAGGGAACAGCCAGCATTTTAGTGTTACAGACATTGGGCTACTATATAGATACGATATGATATACCACTAGGAACTGGTACCCTGTAAGCAGCCATTTTTAAAATGGCCTCCCTGGAATCTCAAACTATACTTTCAAAATGTTTCCTACAGGTATTCTGTCACACCTTTTATTCCCAAATTAAATGTAGGGTACAATAATTTCTTTTTATTATTTTTTAAGTGAACTTAGTGCTTGTTCCACCCTCCTGGAGAATAAAATCTTGTTTGGAAAAAAACCCCAAATAAAATCAGTGTGGGCAATGATACTAAATGATGGAAATCATACTTGGCAACAAGGGATTGACCATCATCATCAGTACTATATATTTTCTCCCCGCTATCCAACAATGTATCTTAAGCTAAGTCTAGACTACATTCCTCTTTCGACAGAGGAATGCAAACGAAGGACTTCGAAATTGCAAATGAAGCGCTGATTTTCAAATTTTGCACTTCATTTGCATAGTGGATTCCTATCACTTTTTCGACAAAGGATTTTTTGGGGGGTGGGGAGGAGAACCACCCCGCTGTCTAGACGTGGTTCTTTTGGGAAAATTTTTTTTTTCAAAAGAACCCTAAAATGCCTGAAAAAATAAGATTTACAGGTTCTTTCGAAAAAGGGATTTTTTTCCCCCCCGAAAGAACCAGGTCTAATCTGCATTTTTTCCCAAAAGATCCTTTGGATCGGAATCCATTATGCAAATGAAGCGCGAAATTTGTAAATCAGCGCTTCATTTGCAATTTCAAAGTCCTCCAATTACAATCCTCGATCGATAGAGGAATGTACTCTAGACATACCCTTAGTCTCAAAAGAAGGGATAACCCTAAGGTGGAAGAGAAGATTTTAATCTACTTATCCATTTATTTTCTGGTCTCTCTGCCAAGATTGCCAAACAAGGTGCCACATTACATCAATTTTGGATATGTTATTCTGTATAAGGTCACTTGTCTACCAGTAACTGGATTAAACCCATAAAGAATGCAATGACAGTGTTCTCAATGTGAACCAATATTATTAACGCATACAAAACAACTTGTTGGAAGCTGTTACCTGCACAAAATATTCTTAACTGCTGTACTGGAGATATAAGTTGCAAGTGAGTGGTAAACAGATCGACAAATGCTCCAGGATATACAATAAAGATAAAAATCCCAAATCCATTAAACCGTACTTGTTCCCTGAAGAAGAAAAAAGAAAAATGTTACTGCAAAGTAAAAACCAACAACACCTATAATATAAAGTATTGACTCTCACATTTAGAGCACAGAAGAACCTTAAAGAATCTGTATGAAATTCAGTTTATCACAAACTACTAGCTTGAACGATATTAAACTAAAATTTGTTTATAATTGGAAACAATTTGTTTCTAATGTTCCTCAGTTTTAGGGTTGGATGACCTCAATTTATCAATGTGTAAAACAAAAAAGACAGATAATTATTTTTAATACTACCTTTAAAAAGCATTTTATGTTATACTATTTTGGAAGTTTTTTTAAAGTAAAAAATAATTTCAGTTAAAAGTGAATTATGAAATGTACCAGACCTAATTTTGCACAAGAACTGCCTAGAAACAGCAACAGACATACTTTTCTCGCAATGCACAAAAAAGCAATTTGCAAGCTAAAAGAAGGGTGGAACTACTTGGAAACAGAAAAATTTGTTACATAAATACTTGAAACACAGAAAAGAAATAAAAAAGGGCATGAATGAAGTCAAAAAGCATTAGCAAGTGACAGAGTGCATGGGATTTATATCCATGTTAGAGTTTAGAATTAAGTTTTTAAAAAATGTTAGTTATATTTTTTTGAATGATTTGATAAATCTTATGTGAAACTCAAGAATTTCACAGGATTGGATACAAATTTTATCGCTTGTCTTTTTCAGATGTGAGTATTATGGACCAGTCCTAAAGCATAGAATCATAGAATACTAGGACTGGAAGGGACCACAAGAAGTCATCGAGTCCAGTCCCCCGCCCTCACGGCAGGACCAAATACTGTCTAGACCATTCCTGATAGACATTTATCTAACCTGCTCTTAAATATCTCCACAGATGGGGATTCTACAACCTCCCTGGACAATTTATTCTAGTGTTTAACTACCCTGACAGTAGTTAATGTCCAACCTAAACCTCTCTTGCTGAAGTTTAAGCCCATTGCTTCTTGTTCTATCCTCAGAAGCCAAAATGAACAAGTTTTCTCCTCATGACACCCTTTTAGATAACTGAAAACGGCTATCATGTCCCCCCTCAATGAACCAACACAAAACTATAAATCCTTCCTAAGTAGTTAACCACAGAATTACCAATGACAACAATGCTCAAACCTAAACCTCTCTTGCTGAAGTTTAAGCCCATTGCTTCTTGTTCTATCCTCAGAAGCCAAAATGAACAAGTTTTCTCCTCATGACACCCTTTTAGATAACTGAAAACGGCTATCATGTCCCCCCTCAATGAACCAACACAAAACTATAAATCCTTCCTAAGTAGTTAACCACAGAATTACCAATGACAACAATGCTCAAATTATGGGGCCCCTGCCACTTTGAAGCATCCTCTCCTCTACTCTCTTCCCCCCTACCCCCACTCCCCCGCTTGCTGCCTCTCTCTGATAGAGGCAGCAAGGGGGGGAAATGACTAGTCGCATCACTAGTTGACTATCCGATAAGGTTATGTTTGTCGACTAGCTGCTTACATCCCTACCTCAAACAGGTTATCCTTGATTGTCCAGTGGACATCTAATGGAATCCCAGATGACTGCAGCCTAGTGGAGTGTTGCTTCATGCCATGAAGCCAGCCACAGTCTGCACCATACAAGGCCACCTGATGGAAGGTTCTCAATACTAAATGATTTGCATTAGTCATGATGATGATTTTCTTGCTTAAATCATTTGGCAATTTGTCAATGAATTTAGCCATACTGTCTGAAAAAATGTATCTGGCTAAGAGACCCCATTGATTTGTAATTATAAACTGTAACCGTGAGGTCAAATACATTCTTAGACCAACGTTTATTGAATCTTTATCCTTAGGTATGGATTTGGCGCATCCTTGACATAGTTTCTCATTGACTGAACCTTCAACTGGGTGTGTGACTACAAAACTTCTTGATCCTTGAATGACATGTGGTATCTCTCTCTGTTCTCTTTGCAGTGGGTGAAATAGATGATGGCATTTTCCACAAAATGTTTAGGGAACTAGCCACTGTTTTAATAGTTTTTTATATGTCTTACAATGATCTTGAATCAGTGAAAATGCTCATAACACTGTTGCCACAATAGGTGTGGATGAAGATGTTTCATGGGACCTTTGCAAGAAGGCTATATCAACAAAGGTTCGGTCTGGTTTTAAAACCCCTGCTACTTGATCGTTACTGAGAATGGTAATGGATAAGTCTCACTGCCCTGGAGTGACTTAGACTGGCGAGATATAAGAGAAGCTTGTGAAGCATGCCCAGGGATTCCAAAACAACCACTGATAACGCATCAGGTCCCAATTGTAAGGACCTCATCTCTACTTCTAGACTTGCTCCTGAAAACATGCTGGTGTTGGGATTGCTGTCCCTGATCCAGGCTGATAAGACATATAGTAAGGAACACTTACTTCACATACTTCCTCCAATAACTCTTACAACACAATAAGCTCCTTAATAAGACTGGGACTTTTCAGCTTTGAAAACAATCAACTAAGGGGAGCCATGATAAAGGTCTATAAAATCATGAGAGGTGTGAAGAAAGTAATAGGGAAGTGTTATTTACTCCTTTTCATAACACATGAACTAGAGGTTACCAAATGAAATTAACAGGGAGCAGGTTTAAAACAAACAAGAGGAAGTATTTCTACACTCAAAGCACTGTCAAATTGTGGATCTCTTTGCCAAAGGATGTTGTAAAGGCCAAAACTAGAACATGTTTCATAAATTAAAAAAAAAAAAAAACTAGCTAAGTTCATGGAGGGTAGGTCCATCAGTAGCTATTAGACTGAGCAGGGATGCAAAACCATGCTCTGAAGTGTCCCTAGTCTCTGTTTGTCAGAAGCTTGGAATGGGCAACAGGGGATGGATCACTTGATGGTTACCTGCTCTGTTCATTCCCTCTGAAGCACCTGACATTGGCCACTGTCATACGACAGGATACTGGGCTAGATGGACATTTGGTGTGACTTAGCCAGAAGTCCGTCACAGGCCATACTAAGCCAGAGCTCTGCCACTACAGCCTGGCCAAGAAGGCCAAATGGAAACCAGCTGAGCAAGCCCATGCCTGAAGGGCTAATTAAAGCAACTGTGGGCCTCATTAGTCAGAGGGCTAGATAAGGCAACCAGAGGGGAAGTAAAAGGAGGTGAGCCAGGATGTTGCTGAGTGTGCTCCCAAGCCAGAAGGAGAGGCTGGTTCAGTTAGCTGCTAGAAAACCAAAGCTCTGTAAATAGAAGGTGGTAGGAAATTGGCACTGACAACAAAAGGCACGGGTGACTACACCAGAAAGGGTCTCTGGTTGAGTTGTGACCCAAGGAGGGGCCCCAAGACAAAGGGGCCTGGGCAAGGACTTTGCCACAGACCGTTTTTATGTTTTTAAAAGCATGGTGGGGCTTTGTAGTTCAGTACAAAGAGGAAGAAATGCCACGTGTTCCCACATACAAGAAAAAAAAGGCTCAAAGAATGTAAAGTCCTAAAAATCAATTAAAGAAACCTTTATATAAAGAAAATCTTTATATCAAAGATTTCATTGATCAAAATAATACCTTTCAAGTGACATACTACAGAACAAGTTAGCTTTTAATTTTGAAATTTTGCTGGGCACAATTATCACCTAAAAGAAACAGTTGTGAGCTAAAGATAAGACCTCTTATATAAAACTGGATTTAATCATTGTTCTAAGGCAGTGGTGCACTATTTGGAGGACACAAGATTTGCTATGAGGATGGTGCAAGAAACTTTGACATTTCACCTTTTAAAACAAATATACAAATAAAAGCATTAGATAGCTTATTTTCAACAATTTAATAAGTTTCATAACTACAACTCGACCCACTATGCTTTTAAAGTTAAATTTGAGTCTCACAATTTTAAAGCTCATTTATGACTGATCACTGATATTTAAAAGGCACAAACAGCAACATAATAATAATAGTTAACAGATGACCTCTTGAATTTGTCAGATACTCTAACACTAAAGTGAATGAATAAATAATCTTCTCTTTATTTCCCTGTCAACGTTATGAATGGAAACCAATTTCAGATTACAATGCCAAAAAAACCTACCCCAGTTACAAGTAATGCAGGTGAGGTGCAACAAATTCAGTGACTAGTAAAGGGGGAGGAAGGGTGCGTGACTGGAAAAGTTTGCACACCATTGCTAGTTTCTGTAGCATTCCTATATGGCAATCCAGAAATTTGGCAGGTCAATCTCAAGTTTGAGGATTTTTTACATGACTATGATTACGAACACTATAACCAACACAATATTTATGTTATTTATGCCAAACTGTTAACATGCCATCAACGTTTATACGGAAATGCACAGCTGGTTTTGGCAGCTGGCAAGACAAATTTGGGGTTTCTAATACAAACAAAAATGAGGGAAGCAGTTTGGGATTTTGACACACTGGGGAAAGCTGATGTTTTTGGTAGGTAGGAGATAATGATTCTTCTCCTTCCCTGTGGCCAAAGCAGAGGTGACCACCACTAAATAAACCTGCCTGACATCTTCCACAGTATTTAACAATAATGGCTAAGCACATCAGAACCCCGTTTCTGCTGAAATGATCACCAGTAAAAGTCAACACTGAAATTTAAAATATCATTATGCATAAAAATTAACACACCACTGAGATTAATATCAGCAAGTCACACTTCTCTGGGCTACAGTTACAGCTTTTTGGTACAGCCTTTCAGTAGTTTACATTGAAGTCACATCATGAATGTTTCCATAGCATCTATAAAGAGCTATAAACTTGTTTGAGAATAAAATATTACATTCTGGAACATCATTCTGTAACAATGAACCGTGTCTTTGCAAATCACACTGCTACAGAATGACAGAAACCGTGGGATCTCAGTTAATGATAAATTTAAGGCAGTATAACTTTAAATATGAAGCAATGCAGTACATTAAAGAAGTGAATGTCCATACTGATGACCTGCTCAATAAACATTATTTATTTAAAAATCTTACAGTTTACACAAATCATAAAATGCTATTATAAGAGGAGAACAAATGAATTGTCTATATAAACCACATACACTCTAATCATATTCATCTGGAGAAAATTGCTCTGGGATATAAAGCTTTGTTGGTACATAGTAAGAGAAAAATAGTTTGCATTACCGAATAGCTGCCACCCCATGGCCAACTTCATGTATGACACCACTGATGAGAATTGCAGTGAAGAAATAGGTCAACTGGCTGATGGGCAGATTTACACCAGGCACCTGTTCATGTAGGCATGACAACAAAACAAAACATACTAGGATACCAGGAGATACAAAGGCAGATCATTTTGCCTTTAAACGTGCTACTGCAACATAGTTGTTTAAAGACTAGAAGCAAGAAAACTTACAGAACTATCAGACGACTGCCTTTTTCTACCTTATATAGTTTTAAAAAAATGACTAAGCCTTTCATTTTAAAGATTAAAAATATTGCTGTTCCAAAAAATGAAACCAAACCAAACACACATATTGGAAATCATGGGGAAAACTTTCCTAAGCTTCAGAAGTATCTACAGATTTAGAGACATGGTTTATAAATAAATCAGTAATGGAAATTGCAAAGATCAGTTTACAACTTTCTGCCCCAACTCCCGTAGCAATTACTATCCATCTACCACAATCACTTTTGTAATGGAACTTCAGGAAGAATCCAAAAACTTTAAGTCACTATGCTCCCCCCTAAAAATAAAAATGAGATTTAAAAAACCCCACATTTTTGGTCTTCTTGTTTATGGTCTCCTGATCGCTCCCAATGTGGCTGTGACAAATGGGCGCATGCAAAAAAATGCAGGCCCATCCTACTCTATGCTCTAAGCCAGTGTTTCTCAACCTTTTTTTTTTTTTTTATAAAGTACCTCTTAAAAAAAAAAAAAAAAAAAAAAGATAAATATCCCCGTTACCTACTGTTTCCAGACACACACAAAAATTTTCTACCATTGCCAGGTGGGCGATGACATTTTTGGGTGTAAAGAGTACAAAAATAATAAAACACTGTAAAATGTAAAACAAAAGTTCAGTTTTCTCCAAATTTCAGTTGTGTTGACATACCTTCCAGACTTCTCTTGAGAACCCATAAGGGTAGTGGTACCACTGGTTGAGAAACACTGCTGTAAGCCCTCCCTGACACATCTCACTGCCCCAGATGCCTTCTGCTTCCCCATTATCACTGACAGGTGCCTGTTCTTCACTCACTGAAACAGACTTCCTCAGTTCTCTAGCTGGCTCCGACAGCTGTTCCCACTTTCAAGGCAGCAGGGAAAAAGGCTGCATTGAGTTCCTACTTTTATTAACCTCTGCTTCCCACATTGCGGTGGCAGCATGAGGCCATTGCTGTTGCTGAGCTTGGATAATGCACAGTTCTGCAGCACTTGCACCATGAGCACCCCTCAGAGCACAGATGTTGCATCCCAGTAATGAAGGCACCTGCTCTGGCAACCACCAGCAGCATAAACTGAAACAGTGACCTTTAATATTAAAAAGGGGAAACTGCACACAGTGGAGGCAAAATTACTGAACTGCCTGTGTGTTATCACCAGAGCTTTCCAAAATTGGCCTGAAATTGTGACCCACTATAATGGTGTTAGCAATCAGTAAGACAGCCATTGTATAATTTTCCTTAGGTTGTAAGCTGCGCAGTAAGATACACTAACTTACGAAAACACCACCAGCAACATTCTGATGCAATCAGACAAAACATGGTATTCCGAGCATATGCATGTATTCTATTTTCTCATTTTAGAGAAGCTTCTACCTCAAAGAATCCAGTGAGGAAATCAACAACACTGGAACAAGTCACAGAGAAAAACCACACACAGAGGACAGAGACAGGAGACACAGGAAGCAGAAAACGAAGAGAGATATGAGGATAGGTAGAGGAAGAAATAAACCATATCAGTAAAGACAGGTTAAAGGACAATGCACTGAAGAAAGTACATGAGAAAAAACCAGCAAGAAAATTGAAGAAAAAAAGGACAGGTAAAGAAAAAAGGAAGTGAAAAAAACTAAAAAAACAAAAACAAACAAAAAAAACCCCACACTCTTGCCTCTGAAAAAAAAATGGTTCCAGAGGTGGAAACTAGTAGAAGCAGTTCCAGAGGTGGAACCAGTAAATCACTCCACTCAGAGATCCATAAGCTTTATTGCAACATAATCACCTTCTGACAAGAAAAATTACTACATGATCACAGGAGTGGGTACTGAAGTTTAAGCCTGCCCAAACCATGCAACTCTGGGTGGGGAGGCAGTGCAGAAATGATGATAAAGCCAAAGCCCATGTTCTAATGCTCCCTGTGAGTGGGCTGAAGTCCAAACCCAAGGGCTTCAGCCACCAGCAAGGGGGCTGTAACATGATCCTCATCATAGAGCTGAAACCCTCCGGCTATAGTTTTGCCCTAGGCAGTGAGGTTTGGGCTTCAGCCTGGGGTCCCAGTAAGCCTAATGCCAGTCCTGGCAACCCCATTAAAACAGACACAACCCATTTGGGAATCCTGACCCACAGTTTGATAACTGCTGACTTAACTAAAATGAAACTACAAATCCTTTTTAAAAGAAGGAGAAAAGCAAAGCAGAGAGAGGTAAAATATTTAGGACTAGTTCTGTCACTTTCAGCAGGCTAGGACTATAGTGCTTCCTCTAAGCAGTAGGTAACACAATCCTACAGTGTCCATGCTTAAGAGAGCACTCCTGAGGGAAGCTGAGTGAGAACTTTGACTACTGTACTCTACCAATTTGAATCTAGCTATGCCCACCCCCAAGGAAGCATCTTCTGCATGTCCTGTATCAACTAGTGGTGTTAATTTAAAGTTAGAGCTGCTGAGAAGAGCAAAATTATCTCGGACACATTAAAGATCTAAATAATATTGGTTTAAAAAGTTAACCAGTTAAACAATTACAATTATATCATTTAACCAGTTCACTGAGGTCACTCTGGCTTCCTGGTACAGCAGGGGCCAGGTCTGGGATCACTTTGGCCAGCCAAAGCAACGGGGCCTAATGCTTATCAGTTAACTGGTTAACCTTTTACATTCCTAAGACACATACAAGGACAAAGTGCTATCAGCACTGAAATCTGGCATCCTGAGTCTGCCATGAATATAGGATCTAACCGCTTTTAGACTCTATGGATGTGTCTAAACTACAGGGTTTTTTCTTCTTTTTTTTCCCGAAAAAGTGGCCTTTTTTCTAAAAAACTTCACTTGTGTCTAGACTGCTGTCGCGTTCTTTCAAAATTAAATTGAAAGAATGTGACAGTGTTTTCGATCGTGGAAAACCTCATTTTATGAGGAATAACGCCTTTTTTCGAAAGTGCTCTTTTGAAAAAAGGCGTTATTGAACGCAAACAGTGCTTTTTCGAAAGAGAGCATCCAGACTAACTGGGTCCTCTCTTTCGAAAGAGGCTTATAGTATAGACGTACCCTATGACTGAAAACCTATTTTAAGATATATACAGGAATTGAAAATACATTCTATTTACAAACAATGTCATTTATATAGATAGTGTGATTTTCTAAATTCTACCAAAGGCATTTGTATGAGAGGAGGACCCTTTGTAATGATGTTTCTTTCACCTGTTTCTTTCTTACCTCTGACAGTTGCAACAATTTCCACAGTAAGCAACTGGTAGAGAATAAGCAGCAGAAAAGGAAGTTCACTAAAGAAACAAGCATTCTATTTTCATGCACATACCAATAAGAGAAGAGGCAGTGAGTGAGAGAGCACATGCACTATACATGCAAAATGAACTGGTTTTTTGCTTCTCACTTGTGTGGTCCCCAACTGATTTTTCTGTGGATCAGTGATCCCCACCTCTGCCATAAATAAAGAAAACATTGAAACCTTTTGTGTTGAACATAATATTTTACTTTATTTAAAATGACGTTTGATAAACTAACATGAGAAAGTTAAAATGCTTAATCTGTTTAATAATTTAAATTAAACTGTTCTCCCCAACTTCAGCACTAGCAAAATGGCTTGGGCGTAATTATGTAATTAACAGTGAGTTTCCATTAGCTACTGGTAGTCCGAAGAAAGGTTTGTATTGACCCAGGTGACACAATGGAGAAAGCTCCTCCCCCCTCCCGGGAGAGTGGCACGACCCAAGGCAGGAGGGTTAAATCTTGGTAGGACACTTTGGAAAGATTGCTGCCCTCTGAGATAGTTTTATAAAGGTTATATAGTTCCTTCTTCACTTCTTTAGCTATTCCAAAACAAAATAGGAGATTTTATATGCCAATTCTTTCATTCTACAATTCAGTTCTCCCAGCATGACTTAGTATCTGGTATCAGAAATCCTTGCAGCAAACAAGTACAAAGTTATTAGCTTTGTAACTAGACATCACCAACAGAGATAAGAAAAAATACCTGTCTCAGATTACTAACTCAACAAATAATTCTCGCTTGTAATCAGCTTCACAATATAATCTTTGCCTCCCACTATCCTAAACAGTTGTTCATCCTTCCTTCCTTTTCTAATGACATACTGAACCAAAATAAACGGAAACACTCATCTTTTTTGCTGAATGTTTTGCAAATTTCAAACACATCATTCCTAATTGCAAAAAGTAGGGATTCTAAATAGATGAGTGGAAGCAAATTCTTATAGCTATTGGTATTCTTAGACACTTTCTGGGTATTCAATATTGCATATTATCAATTCCAAATTCCTCTGTGCTTTTTTTATATAAACCCTTTTGTGTGTTCCTCCCCCATTTTTAAAAACTGAACATAAACCCGGCCACTTTTGGTATAACTGGTGAGACGTCTAATCTTGAGTGGGAAGATTTAAAAGTCAGAAAGGCTAACACCTCCTATTAAAACATTTGTTTAGAATAGGATATAATTCATAAACCGAAAAACAGAGAGGGAACACTTACCACAACTTGTAACATACGATCATTCTGTACGGTAGGGGCTTCAGTTATCATCACCGTCAGTGTCTGCATCAGTGTCCTTCCAAGGAGAAGAACAGAACCAAACATGGCAACTATGCCAAACACCATTCCTATACTGAACCTGAAACGAAGAGAAACAAATGGTTTTGTGCACACAAAATGAGTAACTGCATATCATGAAGACACTTAAATGCATCAGTGCAGCCTAACACCAAACAGTAGGGCACATCTTCCCCAGAGCTATTCTGTCTATCTGGTCTATCACCACAAAAGTATCAGCAATCCACTAGAAGGCTTAAAGCTACAGGAGCAGAACTGAATTTTTCTCCAATGAAGAAGTTAATCTCATAATGCTACACATAACTGCATCCAGCTGGGGTGAGGATTAGTTAGAGATTCACACTATTTCCTTGATACTAGAACAGGAAATACTTCTTTTCAGATTATCGTAATTTGCAGCATTTTATTAATGTTTTTTAACCAATTGGAGGGAACATTGGCACTGCAAAGGATTTAATGCTTTAGATAAAGCTTATTTTCCGGCTAACATAGTGCAAGTCATAGTCAGTTTCTCCTCTGCCCCCAACAGTTTCTTTGTTCCATTACCATCTTTAATTGAACTTCATCAGGAGTTAGTCAGTTAGCGCGTATATTTTAAGTTGCTTGCATTTGTACTTAATATAAAAGGGACAAGTGGAAGCCACAAGCCAGAATGTTTTCTTTTGCTGCAAGATGCTATACCTACTATAAAAAGCGTAGTTACGGCTGATGTAAACTCTTTTTGACTCAAAATTATTTTATATAAGGGAAAACATTAACAAAAAGTATCAACTCAGCATATCTTTTCCTCTTTTATTCATTCCCATACCACTGAGTGTAACAGTAAAATAAATTCAGTTGTGAACAAAAAGGATGAATACACACAAGGGGACAAATTCACAACTTCTTAGCTGTTGAAAAGTATTCACATATCCACTGTGCATATTACTTATGCCAGGAGCAGAAAAAATTCCAGCAAAAGAAAGTTAGGATGGATACAGGCTAAAATGTGAGCCATATACTCCAACCCCACCCTCAACTTTAGAATGTCCAGTAAATGGCTTTGGTCACAGGGCCAAATTTGTGATCCGATTTCCATCAGGGCTCAAGGCAAGCAACTTCTTAAATCATAGATGGACAGTCAAGTACTGATTTGGTTCCACTGATTTCTCAGATTACCCTCCCCACCAAAAGGTGTAATCCTGAAACAGGACTATTTGCATGCAGTTAGTCTGACTTCAAAGGGACTAGTCACATGATGCAGGAAAAAGCTGCAGGCAGTATACCAACATTATAACAATAACATGAGTTTTGTCTACTGCAAAATATCAACAAGCATCTTAGGAAATACTGCATAATTATTACAGCTCGATTTCTTGTTTCTCTCTTTAATGAAAACAGTTAGTTTATAAATGAAAACTTAACTTCTAATAAATGTTTTGGAAAGATTAAAAAATAGAAGAGGATCTTCTATAAACACAAAAATATGTGAAGTCTTCAGCAGAGAAGACCAGAAAAAAATTATTATATTTTATTTCTGTATTGCAGAGGTGGGGAACCTAAGGCCCAAGGACTGGATGCAGCCCCTGCCTTGCCTGGATCCAGACCCCAAGGTTCAGGGCTCTTCCCAGCCCCCCTAGCCCCATGATGGGACAGCAGAGCACACTAAAGCTACTATCTTGGGTTTCCCTAGGCTCTAGTGTATGACAGGAATATGGAGACTGCCTTTCTCCTTCTCAGTTGGGCATGTCAGTGAGGGTTTGTTTTGTTTTTGCTTCTCACTTGTGTATGGCCCCGACTGATTTTTCTCTGGGTCAGCGGCCCCCAATTCAAAAAAAGTTTCCCCACCCCTGCTGTATTGGGTATTTGATATTCTCTGAAACTATAAGACTCAATGATGCGCTGACAATTTTCAGGAAAATTAGTTTAGGAAAACAACTAACTTCCATTAACTTATATATTCCAGTGACCAATGTTCAGCTTAGTCTACAGGGCTGGATATGCATTGTCAGATATGAAAAGCTACTTCTGGATCCCCTAATATATAACTTAAGAATTTACAAAGTCTACAACACCCCCTTTGTCCAGCAAATATTTTGCCAAATATGGATTCATAAAAAGAAAAGAAGACTGGACCTTCAACTACACTTTTGTGGTTCTATTCCTAAATTATCAAGGTTGTATTATAACAAGATCATTTTAAAATTAGTGGTGTGGTAATAATTATTGCTACTCTAACAAGAAGAAAGTTTTCTAGTATCTGTCCAGTATAAGGCCAAAGTAGAATTCTGAAATTATACCATAGATAAAGAAATCTGGGTTTCCATCGTCCCCAACTGTAGAACAGACGGTTGAAGAGATTAGTTTGCCATCGTATATGAAAAGGAGAGATGCTCAGCCCATATGAAATCAGACAGTCTTCATAAGATGCTTTCAGAGAGCTAGATGACTGTAAGAAACAATGGAAATTAGTCTGACACACAGCTTTCTGGAAGATTTCATGTAATGATATCCAATAAAACAAAGAGAAGAGTAGTATATGGGAATATGTACATGCACATATAGCAACTTACATGAACTATGCTGAAAAAATTAAATAATAGGAACTATAAAACCTTATAATAGGAGTCTAATGTGTGACCCAAAGATTGACTTCTTCTACAAGAGAAATATATTATATTGCTTTTACTTACTTATCAAATATATTGTTGCACTCGGATGAATGTACTTAGTCACTCAACTGTCAAGCACACCTTAGGCTCTGCTCCTGTTAGCATACTAAAAAGTTGCAGTAGGGATGTGCAATTGGAAATATGTTGATTTGTCAAGTTGTAAAGCGAACTGTTTCTGAATAATTTTTTCAGTAATTTGTTTTATTATGTCTTCTGCCATTTCGTCAATTCTTCATCTTATTGTATCATTCGACTGTGGGATATTTTTAAGTTTGTCAACTTATATTTCACTAAACGTAATTTTTTCATAGCAGCACTAGATATACTGATACCTTCACATTTTCTTGTAACATATTCAATTGATTTATCTTTTAATATAGGATGCTATCTATTAAGGTGTCATTTCAACAGAGACTGTTTCATATAGCGGTTAGATAAAGTCTCTCAGAAAATCACACAAAGTGGCAAAGGGTGTACACTTCTGTTTGTAGTAAACCTGAATTTAAGATATTCAGCATTGTAACTGCATGTTTTTCTTATCTCAGAAGAATTTCCACTTCCACCACTGGTGCGTGGTTTTTTCACTACAGGTTTTCCCACCTCAAATGTTTCTGACAGTTTCTGATCTTCCAAATCTGCAGTTTTATTTGGTTTATTTTCACAAGAAATCAGTCCATTTTAAACCCATTAGTTGTAATTATAAAAAACTAAACTAAAATTGTACTAATAGCAATTTCATCACTTACTTCAGATAGCAACAAGTGTATGTAATTTTTGGGTGTAACAAATACAAAAATAATAAAGCGCTATAAAACTTAAAACAAAAATTCCGTTTTCTCCAAATTTCAGTTGTGCTGACGTATCCCCCAGACTTCTCTCGAGTACCCCAAGGATACTTGTAACCAATGGTTGAGAAACACCGATCTAGACCACCAACCTCTGACAGATGGCTGTATACCCTTAAATATCCCCAATGATGGAGATTCCTTAATTCCCCTTGGCAATTTATTCCATGCATCAATCACTGACAGTTGGTAAGTTTTTTTCCTAATGTCCAACCTAAATTCGCTACAATTTAACTCCTTTGCTTCTTGTCCTATCCTCAGGAAGTGACGTTTGTTTTTAAATCTGACCTGCCTTATTTCTGAGCAGACACTTGGAAGTCAAAAAATTCAAACCACCGGTTCCCATTTGTAAAAGGGAAACAATCAACGCCCGCCAGTTTTCTTCAGGTGCCATAAACCCCCTCAACTCTGACCCCAGGAAAGGAACGGGCTGGGGACCCTGCCCTCGCACTGAGCCTCGGGCACCTCTGGGTCCCGAACCCTGGCTTAAAACCTGCCGCAGACAGCGAGGCGAGGCCTGGCACCAACGGACGCTGCGCGGGTAGCTCCTGCGGGGCCAGGCGCCGGACAAAAGCCTAAGCTACCGACCCCCCCTCCCCCCACGCCCGGGTCGCCCAGGAAAGGAACGGGCTGGGGACCCTGCCCTCGCACTGAGCCTCGGGCACCTCTGGGTCCCGAACCCTGGCTTAAAACCTGCCGCAGACAGCGAGGCGAGGCCTGGCACCAACGGACGCTGCGCGGGTAGCTCCTGCGGGGCCAGGCGCCGGACAAAAGCCTAAGCTACCGACCCCCCCTCCCCCCACGCCCGGGTCGGGGCACGTGGCAAAGCAGGGCAGCGCCGGGGGCAGAGTCCCACGACAGGTTCAGGGTTCGCGCCCGGGCAGGCCCGCCGCCGGCCGCACTGACCCCTCCCTCCCGCCGCAGGCGGG